TATATTGTATCGTTCATGTTTAGAGCCTCTTTCTTTTTTGATGTTTGAAATTCTAGCCCTTATCCTACTTTCGACCAGGTAGTGATCAGAATCCGCATTTGTCCCTCTTCTGGTACGGACGTTTATTATATTCGATTGGTGTCTTGAGTCTACAATAACATGATCTATCATATTCACTGTAAGTCCGTCTGGTGATTTCCAGGTGCCTTTGTGTATATCTTTTCGAGCGAAGTATGGCTGGCAATCACCGTGTTAAGTGATCTTGCTAGGTTTACCAACCTATTGCCATTGTCATTTGATTGTGCATGAGACTGTGCTTACCTATTGTGGGTTGGAATTGCTGCTCTCTTCCAACTTTTGCGTTTAAGTCTCCATAAATTATTTTTATATCACTTTTTGGGCATGACTGGTATGCGGACTCTAATTAATCATAAAACTCTTCTTTGACTTCCTCTTCTTTTTCTTCTGTGGGGGCATGTGCATTAATTAGGCTGTAGTTGAAGAAACGTCCTTTAATTTTTAAAATACACATTCTGGGACTGATGGCTCTGAAGTCTTTTATTATATGTCTTACTCTCTTGTTAACTATGAATCCAGTGCCCAAAGTGTGATCTTTAGGAGCGCAGCTGTAGAAAATGGTATGGCTCTTTTTTTCCATAATATTGTTTCCAATCCACCTCATTTCTTGTATGGCAGTTATGTCAATTTTGTATCTACTTAGTTCGTTTAAGATTCGCATGACCAGAGAAGCGATGTTTTTATTTGCTTTATCGATTACCAAAAGACCTTTGACAATGTAAGACTTCTTTTCTTCTTAGCCATCTCTCGTCCATTTTTGGACATAGGCCTCTCCCAATTCCTTCCATCGATCTATATCCTGAGCAAAATACTTCCAATTTGTTCCGGCTATTCTTTTGATGCCGTCCACCCATCTCATCTGTAGTCTTTTTCTCGGTCGTCTACCGTTATAAGGTCTCTAATTTTGTATTGTGGCGTTCCAACGTTGGTGTAAAGAAGTGTGACCTACTAAATTCCATTTGAGTTCGGCAACTTTTGATGTGATATCCTCAACTTTTGTTTTTGATCTTACCCAGTGGTTCCTATTTTTATCAGGTAGTGGTATACCTAACGTTGCTCTTTCTGTTGGTGAGTTTATTCATATTTGCCTTGGTTAGGATCCAGGTTTGACATCCATATGTCATGATAGGAAGGATGCAGGAAAAAAATCTCGGACATGCAATAAAAATAAGATACGTAAGGATACTATTTATCATTGTCAATAATGTCCCAATAAACCTGACCTCTGCTTAGGCAAATGTTTCAGAGAATATCATGTATCAATGTAAAGAGACATTACCAAAAAATTAATATTTTGTATACTTTTATTTTATATTGTTATGTTATTTGTTTATTTTACATACTGTTTTTGTGAATAAAATTATAGTTTAGATCAAAAAAGTCGATTTAAGATACTATATACCAAAATTTGTATCAAAGCACATAAGTGCGTCCTCCGCATTTTTAAAAGAAATTCCTTGAAAACTGCGTACATGTGCGTCTTGCAAAAATTCGGAAGAAAAATTATTATAGTCGGTTTTAATAAATGTACAAAAAACAGAACAAATATCGCATTTAGTGTTAAAAAACTACTGCCGCACTGGTCAGCGGTATGTATTTATTTGACACAGCGAAGTAATTATATATAATACAGTTTTTGAGCTTTTATTATGTAATACAATTACGATCATTCACATCTTGTCAAGTTAATTTTGAAGAATTTCAATTTGTATTCGTAACGGTTCTTTAATCACCCATCAATAAGGAATATGTTAATATTTTCGTCTTTTAATGTAGCAGACACATTTTTTTTATGGCAGATGCGGTCCATTGGCCGCTTTTTATTACACTTATGATTATATTGGTCCGTTCTTTTAATTCGTTCATTTCTTATTTGAACTGCTGGCTGGTTGTTTCAATATTTGTCTGAACAGACGGAAGATTTTAATAAAAGAAATGATTCAAAACATGCGTGAGATCTCTATTTTAAGCAGTATTGATTATAGTCTACAGTATACAGTATAAGATTTTAGGGAAAGATAATAAAAGTTTTGATAAATAATGAATTTGATCTGTACATTTGGTAATACGTAGTGGTTAGTACATGAAATAAGAGATTTACGTTTTATTTAGATTAGTTAAATTTATTTAGTATATGACAGATAACGAACCAGAAACTAGCCCACTAACTTAAAAGTCCTCTTGATCTCAAAAGTAAACACCTCTTGTTAGAATCGAAACGTCAGTATGGTAGTATGAACCTAGAAATAGACCAGGACAAAGTATTTTCACTGAATTTACTTCTTTTGCGACATTCAAAAGATCGCCAGTGTTATTTATACTCCTCCCTTGCCTTCAATCTTTCCCTGGATGATTAGTTGAGGGATTCCGTATTTTTTTCCTCTCAGAATATTTCGTACCTTGATCAAATTGAGTAGTTCTCTCTCAGTATTTGCCTTTCTTAAGACTTCTTCGTTTCTCACCCTATCTGTCCATGGTATGCGGAACATTCTTCGCAACGTCCACATTTCGAAGGCCTCCAACTTATTACTGGAAGGTACTCTTAACGTCCATGTTTCCATGCTGTATAACAATATGGACCATACATAGCATTTAACCATCCTGTAGCGGAGATTAAAGGAAAGATTGCGGTTAAATAGTAGCGGTTTTAAATTTGATAAAAGCTTGTCTTGCTTGCATTTAGTTTTTCCAGCATTTATCTTCAAGCCATATATTTTTCCTACGGTGTTTATTTTATTTAACATCAACTGCATATCCTGTTCGTTGTCTGTTATTATAGCGGTGTCGTCGGCGTAACGAATGTTATTGATTGGGAACCCGTTTACCTTTATTCCACACTCAGAGCCTTTCAGTGGCTCTGCAAAAATGTTCTCCACATAGAGATTGAAAAACATAGGAGACAAAATACACCCCTGTCACACCCTCTTAAAATTTCAAATTCTTCTGTGTTGGTTGATTTGTTCAGTCTCACTTGTGCTTTTCTTGTAGTGATTCCAATTCTTCACAACGTTCTTTCATCCAGCTTTCCTTTGCGTTTCTAATTCTTGCCCTTATCGTCCGTTGGATTTCCTTGTATTCCTGTCGATTCTGATGTATTTGGTACTGTCTGCGTTGCTCTATTAGATCAAGTATCTCTTCCGTCATCATGAATTTTGCTATGAATTTTATTAATCAACAAAATTGCTATTTTTACTATTTTCTTTACAATCTCATAATATTTTCAATCACATTTCTTTTAAGCAGCAGTTTTACATTTGTTAGTAAGATCTTTTTTACGTTTTCTGTAAAAATTATGAAACATTTCCAAAATGAAAATAACAACTCTACCTAAGCTCTAACGTCAGAATGGGCGGAGATTTTAAATACCTTTTCAAACATTCGTAATTTGTGTGTGTTTGTCCCATAAGATGTTAGGAATGTTGTTTTTTTTTTAATTCTTTGAAGAATAAATAAGGACTTTTGGTTATGAGCATTCATTCTGTGCGATTGCTATTATTTGTTGTTCGTGAATTTGTGGGGTAAGAATATTAGTAATGGGGTAAGAACTTTTTCTTCTTCTCCTTCTTCGTTCAGATGCCTCCTCGCTGATATCGTACAAATCCTCGCCTGATAGCGATTCAACATTAGAGCACGATTGACCTTGACAACTGGTACATGATAATGAGCAAAACAATTCAACCTTTTTGGGACCGCATTTTGCGTTGCACCCCTTTGTACAGTTTAAGGAGTTTTCACAATAATTGAGGAGTTTTTCCGGTGCAGGTGGTAGTAAAGTCGGGATTAGTTTTCAATGTGTTGTCAATTAACTTCCAACCCCAGTTTTTGGGTCTTGTTGATTACCAAGCTATACACTAACTTAATAATATACCCAAAATAGGTGTTGGTGAGCAGAAGCAGAGGGTGGAAGAGCACAAGCTAATTGCACACGTTTTTTGTTACGAGTATTCTTTTCAAGGTGAAAGGAGCAACAAGTGAAGTAGGGCTGAAGATTAATGAAGAGAAGACGAAATATATGTGTTTAAATAGAACGACACGAAGAGACCGAATAGGACAAAATGTGATGGCCAACACGTTCAATTTCGAAAGAGTACAACGTATCTGGGAGCCGTAATCACCGCTGACAAAAGATGTTACTGAAGAAATGAATGACAGAATTTAATCTGCAAACCCCTGACTATTCGCACTGGATAAATAAGCTCATAAAATCAAAAAATCTTACCAGAAGTGCAAAGATCAAAATCTATAAATCCATCCTCAGACCTGTAATAACATACGGATTCGACCATGGACCATGACCAAAGCAAACGAAGAAAAGCTCAGACCCTTTGAACGAAAAATACTTAGAAAAATTTTTGGACCTCACCATGACATCACCACAAACCAGTATAAGATCAGAACCAATATCGAATTAAAAGCACTCTACAATGACATCGCTATTGTCCAAGAAATTAAATCACAGCGACTAAGAAGGGCAGGCCACGTGCACAGACTGCATAACGAAAGACTTGTGAAACTGGTATGGGAGGAGATTCCCACAGGCAAAAGACCTCCGGAAAATGAACATTCCATTTGACCCTAGCTTGATGGAAGACCGAAAAAATTGGAAAAAAGTTGTACAGTCAGCCAATACTCACCCAGGGTTGTAGCGCTACGTGTTGATGATGATTCTTTTCAAAGCGTTCGTTCATATCTAAGCAGGTAGGTAACTTTTTTTGGAACTCCATATATCGAAAGATTCTGAATCGTTCTCATTTTTCTCTTACCAAAGTTGATTTAAAATATGATGTTTATCTATGGAACGTGAATGTTGCTATTTCTGATTTTTCAGTAATAACAATTTTTTTACAGTACCTCAGCTTTAATCGTATCTGAGTAACTCTGTGTGCTTATTTACCATGTTTGTCACAATGGTTAATACAAAAATGATTGCTACCTCTCAAATTACCCTAAAATATTTTGAGACAGGCCACACCTTCATGAGTGCGGATTTAGTTCATCATGGTGTGGAACAGAGTATGAAGATCACAAATGAAGGAAATATCTACGAGTTCAACGATTTTATTAAGGCTGTAGAAAATTCAAATGGGAAAAAAATGAACGAAATTTGTTTGAAAAACGAAGATGATTTAAAGTCGAAATCTGGAGATTCAAATGCAAAATAAAAAAAAACGGATAGACCTTTGCTTTGCGATATATCTGTGGTACAGTTCAGACGAGGCAGCCGATTACTTTTTTATAAAATTAATATTAACGACGAAAATTTTAAGGAATATAATTTTCTTAAAAGAAAATTTTAAACTAGAAACTCCTAGTAAACTACGCGATAATTATAGGGGTGTCCCTACGCAAAAGAAACAAGGTATAATTTCGCAACTGTGCCCCCTCATGCCTCAAAACAGACGACGTTTTTGACATTCATTAAAAGAAGATGGTGTAGAAGACTTAATAAATTTCGAATAGTTTTTTCAATATTATGTAATTAATTATGATTTTTTTCTTTTCCATTAATGTGAATTACAATTTAATTTTAATTTTATTATACTACCGCTTTATTCTGCATTTTTGTTTTATTTTCAAAATCCATATTTACATAAAGCTGAAAATTCTATATTTTTACTGCTTAAGAAAACAACTTGATTATTATGGTAAACAGCAGTAACTGCTGAATTTTCAGCCAAAAACCAAGTAACACAATTGTTTTGTTTTTCAAAAATTAAGACATATTTTTTAATGTCTTATAACGTTTTTCTGCTTAAAATTAAATAAATAATAAATTGTGTGGAAGAAAAAATCCTAAATTGCAAATATCTCAAAACCATTATTTTCGCACTTACTGCTTTCTACTTTATCACGACAGAGTTGTGCCGTTATTTTCAGCCGTATTTTTGCAAATATTTCTTTAATTCGTTTAATGTCATATTTTGGGCTAACTTGACCGGGCTAATTAAACACATTAATATTTAAAAAACAATATTGACTGTGCTCTAAATTTAAACAAATCATAACCATATTCATTATAAAATAATTTAATAAGGTAATTATTTTTGCTATTGTTTTTCTTTAAAAATATTACAAATGTTGGATATTAAAATCGTAACATAACGATGGCATATAGCAATGGAAATAATCGAATAAAGAACAGTAATTACCGTTTTGAATTTCCAATTATTTAATCAATTTTATTAATTAACTATTAGAATTCGTTGTTGAAAATATTTAGCGTTTATAAATAATAGAAACTGGATATTTTTGTTATTAAAATTGTTCATTTCAAAGAATTTGTTGTGTGTACGGAACCGAAATAATTTGGAGCCGATACTGAAAGCGATTGATAGTACAGTAAAACCTCGATATAACGGACCTCTATTTAACGTACTTTGGATATAACGGACAAAAAATCCGGTCATATGTGAAAAAATAAAAGATGTATGTTACAAAGAATTTCAATAAAATTTAGTATAAGAGGACACATTTCTAATAGCAATATATTTTTTGCTGAAAAATAAATGCTTGTTTATTCGTTATGAATGAACACATTTAGTTTACGCCAGTAAATAAGTAACAATTTTCGCAATATATTTTATATATGGACAAACGGAAAAGACTCAATCTAACAATCAATCAAAAACTAGAGAATATACAAAAGTTGAAGTCTGGAGTGTCTGTGTCTCATATATGTTATGATTATAGGATTAAAAACCAAACTTTTAGACATAAAACTTTTGATATAAACAAAACAGACATAAAAAGACATACAAAAAAATAAAAGCAGAACAAAGAAATTGCATTAATGTGTGATGTAGGAGAGCACAGCAATCTCAGAAAACGAATGAAATTGGCTCGTGAAATTTCAGGAGCAATGAAAGAAGCAATCTTAAAATGGTATGGCCAACAATGTTCTGGTGGGAACTCGGTACGAGCAGTCGAATTGAAATCTGCTGCAATTAAATTAGCAAATCATATGGACATACCATTCAGAGCAAGTGATAGATGGTACTTCCGCAAAAGGCACGGAATGATGAATAAAATAATTTACAACGAAGCTTCAAGCGCACCAAAAGAAGAAAGTAGAATCTCAGATTTACAATGTTGAAGAAACTGGTTTGTTATAGCGTTCGTTGCCTGAAAGCACACAAGCCTCCAAATATGAAAAATCGAATTCTGAAAGAAAAATCAGCAAGGACAGGATCTCGGCACTGCTATGTGCTATTATGCTACTATGCTAAAACCTATGGATCGCACAGATAGACTCCTGTAATGGTTGACAAATCTCGTAAACCTAGAGTTTTAAAAGATATAATGCATCATACGCCTTTTTCATAATATAGCTCTAAGAAGACATGGTTCATCTCAGATATTTTCGAAAGGTTTTTCAAAGAATTTGTACCCTCAGTGAGAAAAGTTCATGCGAAGAAATTGGGAATACCACCAAAAGGCAACTTTAGGTGTATAATTCAACATCGCTTATTTGATCCAAGAATCAGGTAATATTTTTAGCAGCCAAACGAATATGCCGCAGAACGTTTTTAGATGAAGTAATGGTTGTATTGTACGATGGAGATAATGCAGAAAATACAAGAGGGCAGCGCATCTTGCAAAACTTAAGGTCTTACAATTTAAAATCAACAGTTTTAATTTTGCTGCAGCATGGGAGGAGGTGAAAGAGCAAACATTAAAAAATGCTTGGAAGAATTTGTTTGATGGCCAAGATGCAGACATAGATTTAGAAGGATTGAAAGTTACTGATTTTTGTAGGACTATACAAAATAATGCCGGAAAACATGTAGCTGATGAAGATGTTTTACAATGACTAGAAGTTGATGAAGGTGACCCTGGGTATAACATCACGACTGAAAGTGAAATAGCACATAAAGTTGTGAACCTAAAAAATGAAGATGGAAGTGAAGATAGCGAACAAGACGATAAAACGTTGTCGTTGTGTAAATGTGTTAAAAATGAAGTTAACAGAGGTAAGATCGGATCTCGTCGATCTAATCATATTTATTGACTATACATCAAATAGTTAAACTGTATTCTACACATTTTCTTAATTTTGGAGAGTTGATCATAAAAAACAGCAAACATCGAAAGTGCAATCGAAACTTGTTCAAAACAGAATTACCGACAGCAAGCGCGTCGATATCCACAGCAACGTCACTTCATGACGAATGTCCGAAGACAATTAAAATGTACATACATATTTAAAAAAAAAGTAATTTGATTTATTTTAGATATATTTTTATATACCGGACTTTCGGCTTTAACGGACACCTTATCCCCCCCAAGTAGTCTGTTATATCGAGGTTTTACTGTACAATTATAGTAACCTAAATTATTGTGTTCTATTATGCTAACATCTTTGCCGTGCATTTTACATATTTAACTGCCATGATGAACACTTATATTAAATTGTGGTTAAATTCCAATAAAAATAGTAAATCCTATTAATATGCCTCAAGAAAATAGCTTCAGAACATGATACAATGAACTCGTCTCAGGATCTACCATGACCATAACCAGAGCTTCCGATTATATATATATATATTATATATATATATATATATATATATATATATATATATATATATATATACCCGATTATATAGTCCGTCTAGAAAGTATCCGGAAAAAGAAAGCAGAATTATAGTTTTACGGTATTTATTTCTATCACTTGAAATATCAAATTTCATCAAATAATTTATCTCATTTACTTATACAACCTCTATTTAAATCTAAACACTTAACTAAACGTCTAGGTACACCCGAAAATAGGTCAAGGCCATAATTTTCGATAATGGTGTTCCAGGCCTGTAAAACTGACCGAATCAAACCTTCTTTATCTCGTGGCGCTGTTCGTTCCACTTCAATCTTCATCAGTCCCCACATGTTTTCAACGGGGCTAAGATCTGGAGATGCTGCTGGTCAGTGAATTGTTGCCAATTCGTGTTCTTGCATCCAAGCTTCAGTATAAGCAGAAGTATGGCTTCTTGCATTATCTTGCTGAAAACGCCACCCCTCTGGATATAAAACGTGAGCCGTTGTAAGAATAAAACCGTTTAGGATGTCACAATATTTCGCACTATCTACAGTAATACTAACTATACAGAGAGGTGCAGCACCACGTTGAGATATTGCTCCCCAAACCATTATTTTAGTGGGAAATTTGGAAATTTGAACGGTAACATTTTCTCTTGATAGGACTTTTAGATGATTTGCACAATGCTTTGCACATTATTAAAATTATCTTATTGAAAACGTTGACAAAAATCTATTCTTCGTTGGCTTAGCAGAGGTGTCATTGTAGGGATTTTTTTTGAACCTCTTGTTATATATCCTTGATTTTTTAGTGAGATGAGGAAAGTTTCTGGGCACACTTTTATTCTTCGTTGATTTCCATCTATTCGCTAATTTTCGAAACCCTATGCGCGGATTTTGTCGTCCTAAAGCCACTAAAGCATTACTTAAACTTACGCAGTCTACCCGAAACTGGTCTATGTCTCATATCTATGTTCAGTCAATTCCACTAATTTTTTTAACGTTTGGGACACCCTTTCTTTACAAATATTCCACCACTTTTCTTTTTTCTATTTGCGACAATATTTCACAAATCTTTCACAAGTCTGTTTACAAACAACAATATTTGACAGATGGTGTTGTCATGCGATTTTGTACATAACCTACTATCGGCACACAACCTACTTGATGCATTACTTTTGTCTTAAAATGTTACAAAAAAGAAATCTATTCAAATTAGGAAAAATATAAAATTCCGGATACTTTCTAGACATTAATTTGGTAACCCATTAATGATCTCACTACATACTATATAGCCTTATAAACAATGTGTTCTGGGAAATGCCAGATGGAAGAAGGTCTGTAGGGAGGCCCAGAAAAGGGTGAAAAGATGCAGTCAAAGAAGATCTAGAGACAATGGGAGTGCGACAATGGGAATTACTGGCACAGGACCGACAAACATGGAAGGCAATAGTAAACGCGGCAAAGACTCACGAAGAGTTGTAGCGCCATTGATGATGATGATGTACATACTATACTATTTCCGTATTTTTGTAAAAATATATACACGATATCACAAAAAGATTGCTCATAAATTATACAAACATTTTAAGGGCTGAAAAGTCGATAATATTTGTCCTAACTTACT